AGAGAGAGAGAGAGAGAGAGAGAGAGAGAGAGAGAGAGAGAGAGAGAAAGAGAGAGAGAGAGAGAGAGACTTAAGGGTGCAAAGCAAAAACTTCTGCTTGTCAGTCTGACGTGCTCGCATTAGGACTTACTTGACAGATAAATCCTGTCTTAGCCATTCTATTTGGGGCTCTCTTTGTCATAGCAGCTTAGCCTATATGCTAGCTTCAGCATCTAAATCCACTGGGGCTGGCAAAATGGCTCAACAGGTAAAAATGCTTACTTGTCAAGCCTACTGACCTGAGTTCCATCCAAGGAACCATGGTGAAAGCACCGAACTGACTCCCAAAAGTTATTTGATCTACACACACACACTAAACTAATTAAGTGGTTACATTTTGTCTTATTGTGCTCAACATCCCCAAAAGCTATTTCTCAGGGTTTGAGTCATAGTAGTTTCTCAGTAAATATTTGTGAAATGATTGGGGGGGAGGAATGTGCCTATATGTAATAGAGACAGAACCAGGGCCAAAAAAGTTTGCTAAAGCCCCTTATATGATGCTTATCCGGCTGAGTACAACATCTCCTGCCCTCCTGGAAAGCAGGGGCTCAAGCTATAGGTTCCGTGTCTAAGAAGGTATTTGCAATGGGAACAGGGACACAGCAACCTTGCACTCCTGTCAGCTCTCTTCAGAGGCAATGGATTCTGTGCTTGACCACAGTTAGCTGAGGTTACTGCTTATCTCATAGTAATGAGCTCAGCCTGAACACTCACTGTGTGCTCTGAGCCAAACTCCTCATATTCATTTATTCCTTGCACTAACCCTAGAAGGTAGGCACAGTTATTTCCCCTGCGTGAGCCATTCTGCCCCACCAAAGGTCAGTAACTTGGTCCGGCGGCAAGGCTAGTAACAAACAGAAGATCCAAACCCACGTTCTCTGAACCCACAGGTACCCTCCCCTTTACCCCTAGCTGCCCTACTTCTCTCTGTGTATGGCCGGCTTCTATTCCTAACTACAAGGACAAAATTGGAGGGCTGGGCCAAGCTCGGTGCTCATCCCAGGGGATGCCCAGAGCTACTTCTGGTCTTCTGGTGACTGACTCTCTTCCTCTGTGCATGGCTAGCAGGAGTACACACCCACCAGGCTAAGAGCAGAGCGTAAACAGCCTACCTCCAAGTCTGTGCCAGCTCATTCCTGCCCTCTTTTCCAGAGCTGTCCTGTAGCCTCCCTGACCTCTGCCCCCTCCCTGCCCCCACAGCATGCACACTTTCCCCTCAGCTGTCCCTGGATTTCCGACTGGCCTTACAGCAATCCCCACTGAAGACTGCAGGGGCCGGACATGCTGACCTAGCCTGGTATAGTCCAAGTTTCGAATCCCACTTTCACCCATCATGGTCTTCACCGCCATTCTTTATCCATAAGAGATCTTTCCTCTGCATGTCCTGGACTGGCCCAGTGGGGGAGTATTATCCGGGGCTTGCAGACCTAGGGGCATAGGTCAGTACGGCCTCCAGACTCCTGCGGTCTGCACTGTGCTTTTTGAAGAAGCGGCTTGTTCTCTTTGAAGTTGTTCAGGGCTGAGCACGTGAGCTGACGGCGCAGGACTTGCTAGTATGCATACATCCCTGGGCACGGCACCATAAGGGAAAATATTCTTGCCAGATATGATAGTATCTCAAAAAAGATATGATAGTACTCAAAAAGCAGCCGAAGGGCTGATGAGATGGCTCAGCAGGGCAGAGCACTGGATGCTCTTCCAGAGGACCCACGTTCAATTCCCAGCACTCCCATAGCAGCTTATAACTGTCTATAACTCCATTTCAGAAGATCCAACCCTCTTCTAGCTGCCACAGGCACCAAGTGAGCACATGGTACACAGACATGCATGCAGGAAAAACATCCATACACATATAAAATTACAACCTTTTAAATGATTTTATTGTTATTATATAAGCATTGGTGTTTTGCCTGCAAGTATGTCTGTATGAGAGTATCATATCACTTGGAGCTAGATTTACAGACAGTTGTGAGTTGCCATGTGGGTGCTGGGAATGGAACCCAGGTCCTCTGGAAGAGCAGCCAGTGCTCTTAACTGCTGAGCCATCCCCTCAGCTCTAATAATAATTTTTAAAGATGAAAGCAAGATGATCATAAATTCAAAGCCAGACTGAACTACAAAGCAAACTCCAACTAGCCTGACCCATAGCAAGACCCATAGTTTGTTTTGTTTTGTTTTGTTTTGTTTTGTTTTGTTTTGTTTTGTTTTGTTTGTTTGGGGGGGAAGAGTTGTCAGAGTTTGTACACAATATTCCTATTTCAAACCTATTGAGAGCTCTGGAGCTCTGACAACACTGGGCTCCCCTTCCCCATGTGGGAAAGGTTGCCCTCGAATCTGGACATCCCATCAGGCTAACAGGACCCTATCAGTTTGGTTTATCACAGTCCCCTCTGCTTTGCAACCTCTCCCGTGAGGACATCCCTTCTTCTGTCTGCAGGGCCTGCCTGACCCGCTGGGGTTTGAGTCTACAACACCTGCACTGGTGTCTCCATTTTGATGAGCAAACTGAGGAGACTAGAAGAAAAACTAGTCCTCGTGCTCTCAAAAGTGTCTTCAAGGGCAAGACCGTACTGGTTATTGTTGGACAAGATTCATCAAGCTCTTGATGTCCCGGTCCCTGTCCGGGGCTGGATGCTGGACTGAGGCTGAAACATGGGTCTTTTGAGCCATCCACAGCACAGCTGGCCAAGCTGTGAGCAGGCAGGCAGTGGGCACACAGTGGGTACTTCCTTCGAGTAACAGGTCTTCTACCATGTACCGTGATAATCTGACAGTCCTCACCTCACTCCAAGATTTACTCTTTCTCAAATCTGCTGTTCAGCTTATGTACTCTCAACCTGCTAAGGGTGACCTTTCTAGAAAGCTAATCCCTTCTCAGCCTGAATCCTTGTGCCTGTCAAGCTCCTACTCGCCCAAGCATAGTCACACATGTACTTCTAGATAAACACTCCTTCTCATCAACTTACAGACCGGTAACAAAATTTGCCCAGGTGGGTGAACCAGATTGCCAGGTATCTCACTGGCCTATCTAAGCAGCAGGTAGCCTTGCTGGAATGAAGATCCTGATTGTCAGGTCTTCAGATGTCTCCAGCAGCCAGGAGCATCACACCAGAGAACAATGGTCCCTATTAATAAAGACCTGGGCTGAATATCAAGCCCTGAAGTGCTGGAGAGACTCTCAGAGGACGCCAGACAGTCCAAACACCAGGAAGTGAAGGCTGCTCTCTGTCCACCCATTGGAAGGAAGAGCTCCACACTGGGGTCTTCTAACCCCTCTAAAGCCTTGGAAGAGGACTCCAACATGTTTAGGTGGCATGGACCTGCAGTCCTGACTTCTACAGTGACAATACCATTGAGACTATCATTGATTTATTTTAATTATGGTTGGTCCAAAATTGACCTTTTGTTGTTGTTTTGCTTTTTTGACTAATCCCCAACCCAGCTAGGTAGGCAAGGGTGACCTTGAATTCATTCCTCATCCCTCCACCTCCCAAGTACTGGGATTGCAATTGAAGGCCACTGTGCGAGGCCAAACCCTCCATTTCTTAACTCACACTGTATTATCTGGATCTTCCCAGTTAAGTAGCTCGCCAGTTCCTTTTCTTCAGTTCACAAAGAATTCGTTGAGATGGAAACACTTATCTTGAAACAGGTGTCATCCTTTCCTCCCTGAATCACAGGAAATTAACATACCAATAGCCTGGCAGAGGGGTTGCTTAAGAGGTGGCAGAGTATAGCTACTCTTGCCCCTGACACTTATAAAGCTTTTTAAAAAGAGAGAGAAGAGAACAATTTCCAAATGAGAAAATGTCACAGATAGCCATAAACTAACTTCCCTGGGG